GGAGCGGAATTAATGCAGTGATGTTCTCATTTTTTCTGATTCTAAAGAAAAGTACATCTTTGATTCTAAATATATTTTTAACTACTAAATAAATAAATAACAACTTCAAATGTTATATGAACGAGTTTAATGGTTGAGCCTTTATGTTTTGTTTTGTTTGTTTTTTTTAAGTTAAAATGACGTAACCCATCTGTTAATAGTATTAGCATGCCTTTCCCAGCTTTAGGGCTGACTGTACTGTATCTACCTCTTTTTCAATTTTTCATAAAAAGAGGCTTTTATAAGGAAAAGAGTCACAACAGGGGAATGTCAACTACTCTGTTTTACATCCTCTTTCCTGCTTTTTACAGAGACCTCATTTTAATCTGCTGCTGATGGGAATCTGTCAGGAGGATGTTTTGCCTGTTTAAGAAATTGTGCATGGAGGACAAATATCAACATTTGAATTGCAAAACACCAACACCAGCGCCATGTTTGTCGAACACTGTTGTTTTAATAATGAACAGCAAAATCAATTTACAGTTAAGCTCTTGTCATTTCATCTTATCTGTAAGAATACAAAAAAATACAACTGATTATTTATTCAAACAAAAATTTGATACAAAATAAAGATGTTTATTCTACTAAGTATTCAGGACATAATATCAATTGAGTCTTTATATGCTGAATGAGCTTCACAAAATGTTAAATGATATGATAGTTTTATTCTAAATGAGAAAAAATTTACCTTAAATTAACCTTGAAATACTGACAAAAAAAACAACCTTGTTTGTATTACCCCAAGGCTATTGAATCAGCAGCACAAAACCAGTTTTTAATTACGAGCTGCCATACAAGTCACATTACATAATCTCTCTGAAAATTTTACATATTACTTCTCACTTTGATGTTTTCCCTCTTTCACATACATATATTTTTCCCCATCAACAAGTTTTATCTCTTACATACATTGTAATAATAGTCAGAGTGGAATAAATGAAATATTAAAGTTCAAAATCTGCCTTAAAATTATGAGCTAACTTTAAAAAAAGCTTTACTTTAACTCAGGAAGGTTTGCCTTAAAAGTCTCCCTGTTAATAATAATTAGTTGCTTAAATTCGATAGTCTTATTTGAAATTATTTAATATAAATTAAATTATCCATTCACAAAAACTCACCTTCTGTTGTCAAGGAAATTTGAAATAATAAATCCTTTGCAGCAAGTGGAAACAACTCACAGCGCTGCTTTATCTGTTTAAGAAAACTTGGTTTAATTTACAGAACTCCTCACATGTCCTGACCAGATCATACTCAGAAGAAGACAAAATCAAAGATTTCATGCTTGTTTAATGAATCTATCTGGTAGGAGAGAATGGAGTGTATCCTCGCTCCTTTAGATAATTTGCAGTAGGCTATATTTAAAAAAAAGAGATAAATTAAACTTACCTTGATTCTTTTCTCCCGTTTCTCATATAAAAATATGAATGCCACGACATCAGGTAGCTAAGGTCCTTATTTTGCTGAGGAAAAGTAACCTTCTACAACTTTGCTTTTCACATCCTTAATAAGCTAAAGTGGTCCACCTCTTCAGTTTATAGGCAACTGTAAGTGAGGGAAGCCCTGCTCAGGTGCGATTAAAATCTTAGGTTACACTTTACAAAACCATCAAAACCAGAGACATTTATTAACGATTAACAGATAGTTTATTAATGTCTGTGTTCATTTATAAATCACATCTAAACCATTTATAGAAGGTTAATAGATCATTTATTATGTTATTAAACCAACAAGTGTTAGGTTAGGGTAAGGGTAAGTCCAACCTGACAGGGAAAGTTAAATAAAAAAAGGTTAGATTAATGTCTTAAATCCACTGATGTTAGGGTTAGGCTAAACAAACATTTCAGGGCAACATGATTATTAACCTTTTATAAATGGTTTCAGTTCATCATGGCTAAATAAGGGTGTTGCTTTTTTACAATGTACAGAGATGGTAAGGTTTATAGATTAAACATTGCTATATGATGTATTTCTGTTATTCTTTGCTTAATTTATTATCACCACATATATATATATATATCATTAGTGACAGAATCGTTTGCCTCATTGTCCTTTTTCCTCTCATGTTGAATTTATTTCTGTCAGGACATATTATCAATAATTGGCTTTCACACGTTTCAGAACTGTGTTTAGTTTCTGTGTGTCGTTTATATTTTCAGAATGACTTGGAAGCATATCTGTGACATCATCATTCATTTCAGACATCACAAAGCTCAGACCAGGAAAACAAGAGAAGAGATAGTGGTGAGACAGTTAATTTCTAACCTCTTGGGGTTCACATGATTGAAATATGTGAACTAAGATACTGTTTCTAAAGAAGCCTGTGGAACACTGAGGAAGTTCCCTTACTCTGGCAAGCACAAGTCCCTCTACTAAGTATAACATGTGTTAACATGCTGCAGAACTGACTGGTTTGAAAACTGGCAGAGCAGCTCTAAAGAGGGTGGATAAAACTGCTCTACCACTCTGAATGTCCTATTCATCCCTGCTACCCTCCTACAGATGGTATAGGTTTATAAAGACACACACTACCAGAGTAGTACAACTGAAATCTATCCACCTATCTACTTTAGCCTAAAACTATGCAAAAAGCAACTCTGAAATGAAAAAAGTCTGAGTCTTAGATAAAAAAAAAGTGAGATCATAGTTCTTCATTCAAGTAGCATTTATTACTCCTTGCGACAGATGCAGTCTTGCCAACATTCCTGCCTGTTCTTGTCTAGACAAGGTTATCCTTACTATCTTAAAGTCTGCAGAGAGTTGTGGAGGTTTTCACATACAGTTTATCAAAACAAGTTAAAGACAGTTGAAGAAAACTGTAAAATGTTGAAGTAACCTTAAGGCTGAAGGAGTCTGGCCTCTGTTTCAAACAGTCCATAATAGTACTAACCAACAACTCTTCACAAGACACTGTTTAACCTTCCAGGTGTGAAACAGCCTAAATAAATACTTTTGTGTATTAAAGGAAACAAAACAAAATCAGTAATTTTTTGACGATATTCAGAAGTCATACAGTATTTGCAGTTGTAGCCTTGAACCAGCTCATCTGTTTCTATGGTGTGTTGTTTTTAGCTTCTTAAAGGCATGTATATTTATCCATATCCCAAATTCCGATGTTTTACATGTTATTGCTTTTAAAACTAGAGCAGTGATGCCACCAGGGGGCATTGCATTGTACAGGGTGGCCTTGGCCTACCCTGGCCACCCCACTCACCAATGGGGTGGCCAGGGTAGGCCACATGACAATAAAGCAAGATATGAGTAGGTGTTTACTGAAGTCTTTATGATTTCTACAGGTAGGTTTACCACAATAGTAGACTCAAAACCAGAAATTATGGCTTTTAGTTTTAGTGTGCCATCCCAGGATTTTTGCCCCATCTGGCAATCCCTATGAAACTTTTCTGAAGGCCCCACTGAACTAGAGGCCTCAGGCAACTTACATCTCTTGAGTATTTCTACATTGTTTAACCCTTTGAACCTGAGGGGTACCTTTTAAGGTACCTTTTCATATTTACTCAACAACAACTGTGATAAACAATCCATTAATGACAAAAATTATAGCAATGTATCATATGAAATTACACTGTAGAATCTGGGCTACAAGCCAGCACAAACCTTTTTAAAATTTGCAAAACACAACAGAAGTTTGCTGTTTCTCAATGAAAAATACATTTTACATGTAAATCCAAACTATGTTGGTTGAGACACTTTGAATCCATACTTAGCCTTTACAACCCACCAATCCAGGTATCTGACCAAGCTAATAGACTGCC